TCAATTATTCCCAGAAAACAGACTCATAAAACGTACCTTGTCCAAAACATACAAGCAGAAAAATCTGATTTTGCACCACTTTAGCCTGCAGTCTGAATGGTCGGGGGTAAGGGTGATGGTTGCAAGAGAACCTGTCATGGACATCACACAAATTCACCAAGTTAGGGAAACTTAAGTTCCTGTCCAAGTTCTTTTTGAGCTTTTATAGAGGAGCAATAGAAAGCATTCTGTGCGTGGCCCAGGACAGAAAGGGTCTGCAGCTGCCAGCAGGTGGTTAAACAAACGCCCAAAACATTATTGGTACCCATCCATCAAGCATGTGTGAAATCTCAGGAATGATGAAAATTTAAAACAACACCCGCCGCAGCCACAGCTTGTTCACCCTGCTGCCGTCTGGCAAACAATAGAGAGTTATTCTCTGCCGTACCAGCAGACTAACAGAGCAGCTTCTGTCCCCTACGTCCTCTGTCTGTGAATCTTATACGTTAGCCCTCTTTCGCACATTACTATACCATTATATACCCCCCACAGGGGTTGCCTGTAATTGTTAGGACGGCTGAAGATAGTCAGGAAGCGGGGAAAGAGAGGGGATATTCCATTTTTTCTTCCTTTAGTACAATTTTTCTATTCCTTGTTCTGTCGTTTTGTTTTTCTATTCTAATTTGAAATATCTGTTCATTTTCTGTGTGTGTATCATGAAGAAGGCTACTGAATCATCATCTCATTCATTATGCAATTGTGTTGTATAATGACAATAAAGCTGAACTTTGAACCTTTTTTTTTAACCATTTTTAACTTTTTGTTGTTTTTTTACACTCAAATTAAAGATCTGAGTACTTCTCCCGCCACTGACCGTCTGTGATGTCCTTGTACGAGACATTGAGACGGTCTGCGATCTTCTGCTGGACCCTCCTCATCTCTGGTCCCTGCTTGAACTTGTCCATCTCTGACAGAGCTGAAGGGTTGTTATCAACTTCCTCCACAAACCTGGTGCACTGGTCAAAAAACCTCATGAGGGCATCATTCACCGAATGGTCGAACTCCTTATCTGGGTGGAATAAGAAGAAAAAAGGGAACAGGTTTTTAATAGAAAATGCATCCTAGTGGTAAACTGATAGTGTGTGAAACCCCATCAGGGTCGTACCTGTAATAGCCCACAGCTCTGTCAGTCCAGCCTTGAAGGACAGTGTGCTGTTGACACACCTGTGCTTTGAGCTGGTTATGAATTGGATGAATCCACCTCGGAGCTTCTCCTCTGAAATGAGTGAGGGGAACAGCTTTGACAGCCTGACGGCCAGATGCTTGTGGTCGCTCACACCTTTCTGGACGAGTCGGCCGTCCATGTCCTCAGTGTACCACATCGTCCACTGGCTCTGGATTTCGCGCAGCCAGCTCTCTTCACCTGAGGCGCTGCTCTTCACCAGCTCGTAAAGCTTCTGCATCTTCTTGACGTTTTTGGACGTCGGGTACCTCGTGCCGTGTCTTATGATGGCGGTCAGATGGATCTGCCGACATTGTGCAGATGGAGGCTGCAGGATGGATCTGTTCACGGCGAGTATGTCCTCTATGAGATACGGGTTCACTTCCTCGTACCTCCCTTTGGTGGTGAAATATTTGGCGATCGCGGGTATGTTTGGATTCCACTCGGAGTTCACGTCGTTGCGAGAACAGCAGGAAAAGCCACTTATGACGGTGAAATGAACGAAAAGGACTTTCCAAAAAGTAATCCCCATGGTGCAGCCTGGTAGCGCGGACGTACGGGCGCTTGCACTCCCCCCCCAACCCCCACCCAACCGAGCCAAAAGTGGGTGACGTCGCCCATGTGGGACTGTCCAACCAATCCGTCACACAGCAGAGTAAAGCCTGAAGCTTTTACATAATACACCCTGATGGACTTTGAACACCTTTGGCCACGTATTGCTTGTCCTTGTTTACAAATTCTAAATCCACTTTTCACCACTATTACCATTATTCCTCTATAAGTTGTATCAACATGAGTTGGCTCCACCCCTCACTTCCTAGTAACGCCATAAAACATGGCCTAAAAGTGGCATGCATTCAGACATATAAAGTCTACCAATAGTGTTGCTAGGAACAATAATGGATGTCTGATGTGTGTTTTGTCTGCTAAATTAAAATCCTTAAAAAATGCATCTACTCCATCTACCTCACTACAAAAAGTAGTCATTTATCTACAAATGTGCAAATTTTGTTAAATTCTAAAGTTTTCCTTCTGCACACAAGATGTCTCCTACTTCACTGTACATTCTCAGTGTATGTGCACTGCTGGCTTCCAGTTTCTATATCACAGTACATCACTGTAAGCTGCTAAATACTGACTTCCAAACTATTTGTGATGTCACAAATCATGCTTGTAGTCCACGCCCCTTAAAAATCTGGTTTTCAATGAGCACAGAGAAACTTTCCGCTTTCAGCAGATGAATGTGAAAACATTCAAACTCTGCACCGACATTATTCTGTACAGTGAAGCTCAAACATCCAACTGTAGGAACAGGAAGATATTTTTTAACAGGAGGGGGTCTTTAAGTAGAAGTATCAATACGACAGTGTAGAAATACTCAGTTAGTAGTAGAAGGAGTAAGAAGTACAAAAGTGCATTATTTCCCTCTGAAATGTAGTAGAAGTATAAAGTAGCAAAAAATAAATGTACTTCAGAGTTGTACATACAGTATTCAGCAACTATACCTTCAAAGAGACACAAGATAAATCTGAGGGGTTGTGAGATGATACATTTTAACCAAATTTTTGCTCTTTTGTGTAAAATATTGCTTTTATGTGCCTCATTTTTTAAATTATAAATTCAGCACTTAGGTAGATGCACTTTCCACCACTGTCGCTCTCTTTTAATCAGTCACTAAAAATGACCCTGGCTGCCTACTACTGCATATTTTAGTCACAATCCTGCCATTTGTTATGATTTGCTGCATAATATAAGTGAGTTTTAGTTCAGTATGTACCTTAATAAATTGTTTAGTTTTGGGAACTGGTGGACACTGCAAATCTCTCTGTAAATAATTTTATAAGGAGTACAGTCTAGACCTGCTCTATTTGAAAAGTGTCCTGAGATAACTTTTGTTATGATTTGGCACTATACAAATAAAAAT